TGGGTGGGCGGCGCAGGGGAGGGGGGGAGGGGGGGGAATGAGGGCAGGACTTTCGGGAATGAGGGCAGAACGGGCGGGAATGGGGCAGGACGGGCGGGACTGGAGGGCAGGACGGGCGGGAATGAGGGCAGGACTTTCGGGAATGAGGGCAGGAACGGGCGGGAATGGGGCAGGACGGGCGGGAATGAAGGCAGGACGGGCGGGAATGAGGGCAGGACGGGCTGGAATGAGGGCAGGACGGGCGGGAATGGAATGAATGAACAGTGGAATGAACAGTGAACAGACACCTCCAAAGCGATGCCAACATACAGTACAAGTATATTGGCATCGCTTTGGAGGTGTCTGTTCACTGTTAGTTACTCATCCTTCTTGCTGCTCCATAGATCGGAACCAATCCATGCCACTTCGTAATCCCGTAATCTAATATATCTCTAGGAATCGAAGATGATTGCGCGGCTAGCGGTAAACCCGTATAAAAGGGGTTCACCCTCATCAGTGCCATTCCATGCTCCGCTGGCAAAACGCCCCTCCGCCACCCCTTTTTTGCATTGTACCTCAACCGACCAATAGTGTGATCTCGAGACTGCATATATCAGACGTCGATTGACACACTTGCTACAACACCGCGGGACAGATTCTTCTGAATTTCCGCATGCCAATAAGTACTCCGTCATCGATTTTCTCCTATCAGCTCACCGTGTACTGCACTATGCAGAAACCGGATCCTTTGAAAGGTCTATGATATGCACTGCACTGTACAGCATAGGATAACATGCAGCCGCAACATGATGTTTACCAAATCTGAATTGTATTGGGATTTGCTTGATAGTGTCCAGACCAACAGTGGAAAGGTAAACGAGCATTTCGTTAGAAGCCTCATTGTTGATTGAAGTGCCTGATTCAGGCTTGCAACGAGAATAGTAATAACAGAAATCCCATGGGAATCACGCGTTCACTCACAACACTCTCACGCACAACTTTTCTCGGTTGTGGTGAAAGATGTTTTGAGAGCAGTCATTCGGATGTATAGTTATGATCCTTACAGAAGAAAGGGCATGCAAGGGGCGTGGGCTGGATCGCAGGTAAAACAGGCCTTCCTGCCGGTCGTTGTATGCTCGATCGAGGATTGATGAGAAGGCGGCCTTGGCAGCGCTGCAATCCAAACCCGCTCACACGCCCTATCGTTTGCAGGGATCATGACTATGTGCTGCAGAATGAGGTACACACTGCGACGCACACCATCGTTTTGCACGTGCCAAGAAGCTGCTATACTCATTGGCAGGGTACCACCTGGAGAGCGCTCTCCTCGATGATACTTCCGGACCTACACCGTTCTGCTTCGAGAGTGTACGCGGAAACCGGATAGGATGGATGGATGTTTGGATAGCACCAGTAAGGGAGGCATACTGAGGACATCCTGTTTCAGGGGGAGGGGATCGTTTCGACACCGATAGTTCCTTCTCATCCTCATGTCATCACCGTCTATGCAGAGCCTGAACGTTGCGGATATAACATTGATTTCGTACAAGAAGTAAGCGAAGAATTCTGTGCCAGAACATTGTAAAGCTAAGGAGTTTGGCGCTGAGAATAGGATGAAGGTCTAGGAGAAAGTGAAAAATTCTGGGAAGAGAGCTGAAAAAGGACAATTGAGAAGAGGGAAGTATCTAGAAAATATTCCACAGAGAAATGGGTATGGAGGGGGAGATGAATATCAGAGAGAAGTTGGTACAAGTAGGCGGACCGTCACAAACAATTCCGTAAGGATGTGATAGGAAGGTATAAGCGCTCTAGTTTGAGTAGAGTCTGTCGACTGCCACACAAACTTGTTCGCCACTGATGATGGTGCACAGCAGGGTCGATGTGCTTGGACCAATGCCAGCCCATTTCTTTTACTTTCTTCGTGCCGCAAGCGACGAGACCATAGAACGGGCGTGGCGCGAAAAATATGGCCTTATTGACACACGCCATCATGCGCAGCGATGAAGACTTCTTTGTTCGCCTCCGGCTTACGTTCGAGCTTTTCCGCCGTCTTTGGAGCTTAAAAAAGTTTTCAACGAAGGCGAAAGAGCGAAGAATGGGAGGAAGTCTAGCGTCAATTTTAGAAAGCATTGTATTTGAAGACCAATCAAAAAACTCACTTCAATAAGAGGTTAGACAAGAGTCCGGCATTTACCGAGGTGACTGTATCGTTCAAAGGCGTAGTTCTTCTTGTCGGTCATTAAATACTCTAACAAAATCAAAGCGATGGCCCACGACATTGCCTAGATTTTTCACATCACAGCGGAGTCTTCAACTTCAACTGGTAAACCATCTTGCCGGTATGGATTTTGAGGAGACGAGGGAATCGTAATTTGCCGCTTCGCCGTACGCGACGATGGACGCGGCGTTTCTTGACTCGTGGTAATCTGTCCACAGGAGCACTGGACTTCATGCGGACCCCGTCATCATAGACATTCATGACTATTTTCGGTTCTGAATTGCCTGTTGTCGCCATCTACTACCTAGACCATCGTCATTTGCGGACGCGACGTCTCACGCGACGCCCGCGAATTACGATTCTCTCGTCACATAATCTAGATTTTGGGTCGGAGAAGGTGAAAGTGCAAACGTTTGCACTCGACTCGCTGCGACTCGTCACTCGCTGTGACTCAAATGTAACGCCACACTACTAATTGGGATGTATATTAGATACTTACTGAATCCAGGAAAAAATTCGGTATATCATCCACATTTTTTTCGTTTGGTGTGAACATGTAGAAGTAATAGCGTAAATTTTTCGGATGCAAATCCGCGAACACTTTGATGATCAGCGTGATATTAGTTACGAATGTGTTGATCATCTGAAGTGAGTGATGAAACATAACGAAGGACACGGTATAATCTTGATAAGAGGCACGAATGAGAAAGGCTAACGCAGGGTTCTGCAGACAAATCCTGGCAACGAAAGTATTTATCACGACGGACAGCTCAATAAGTGAGACGCGTTCAAACTTTGCGGCAGCGTCTGCCGCATTCACCGGTGTCCAGGTGTAAAGAGTATCTAGAAGTAGGAGGGAGGAGATAGCCAGACTAGGCGTCATGAAATTGTGGCGTGTGCAAACGCACCGCACTATTACACAATGCTGTATTTCTAGTCGCTGGTTGTCGCGGGTAGAAGCTGGTAGACGCTGGATCGATATATGTGTTTTCCTAGCGCCTTGAGACACTAATGGTCGCAAGCGAACGCCGGTGAACGCTAATAGACGCTAGCTCGATATCCATACTTTCCTAGTCGTGGTGCATTCATGCTGTAGGTCTCTGCCCAATAGATGAGGAGACTGGAAAACGCAACCTCGACCACAGCCATTGGTTCTTATCTCAAGAAGTGCTGGGAGAATGGACCGAATATTTTCAAGGTTTTCCGCGTACCTAGGAAGCCGTATGAACGGCTAAATGTAGAGAATCCCAAACGCTGGCGTGTTGCGTGTTTTGCCTTATAATGGACTCAGTCGTCACTATAATCCAGCGTCATTTCCTCCCATTTTCGTGTGAGGAAAGAGGCACGCACACTCGGTTACGTGACATCTAAAACATTTCGTGGCGGTCCTGTAACGAAAACCTGTGACGCAGACGGACAGATGACAGCGGCTGCTAAAGCATCGAACGTGCCAAAAACGTATGGCGGGCCAGGAAGCGGGATTTTTCAAGGGGAGGGGACTCCAGGGGGGGGGTAGCCACTTTATCGGTAAGGATAAGAGTTACGCATCGACTCGTTAACGACTTCTCGCACCTGGATTCGAGGCATAATTAGCGAGGTGCGAAGAAACCTCATTAAGCCGATTAGCGAGGTGCGAAGCGACCTCATTAGCCGAGGCACGTCGTGCTCAACTGCAGCTGACCTCACTTCAAGGAAAAGCTATTAAGCTATCCAAATCGGAATAAATCCATTGCAAGATTTCGGTAAAGTGGGTAAAAAGATTGCCATATATTTCATATATTTATGTATTATTATTAATATTATTAACAAGACAAGATTGTATAATTATTATCATTTTTAATTCAACATGTATTTATACAGTTTATGTTTGTGACGAATTGAGACATTTTTATGCAGTAGCACTCTATTTGGGCACTAGATACTCCCTGCTGATAAAGTTCGTTGAATCTGAAAATAAGTACAGTGTTTTGAGAAGGTGAGCAATGAAGAAAAGGGATCTGAAGCGTCTGTCCTACTTTGCCATTTCCTCAGATATTTTCTCTTTCCTCGCCATGTACACCTCTCGCACTGTCTTAGCATCAGCGTAGATCTTAGCGATATGCAAGGAATCCCTCCGTAATTTTTAAAGATTTCCACGCGACTTCCAAGTCTTCGTAAGCCGTAGCGGCTGCTTCCGATCGATTTATGCCGAATTCTAGATAGCATGATAACTAGGAAGACATATGGATAAGCTTTCCACTGACGGTCAATCAGCGAATTAAAGGCACAAATGCCATTTTGTTGAGTTTTACCATGTAGTGCCAGCATTTTTAAAAGTTTTTTCGTGAGCCTCACGTTCTTTTTAATTTCCTGATAGTTTAGTTTTCACTCGATTTATTCCGATTTCGATAACTCAATGATCTCTCATTGAATGAGGTCACTTCGCACTCGAGCACGATTTCCCCCTGCTTAATGAGGTCGCTTCGCACCTCGTTAATGATGTCTCGCACAGGGCACGCCATCTTTGTGATCATCATCACAACAGGGGGGTCGTATTTGCCCGCGATGGAGGGGGGAGGGTCGTAAACGCATGGCCCATGTTGAAGTGGAGAGAGCGGTGATACACGGTACAAGTAAAAAGAAGCTCAAAAGGGACGATGTAGATGACAATAAATAGAACTAGGCACTATCGAACTATTCCTAGGCCAAAAACTAAAAAAATATTGCTGAAACTTTTTCTCCTCCTTCTCACAAAAGCTTCAAGACACTTCGCCCACCAACCCTCCTCATCTGGTCTAGGTAAATCCCAATCCACTAATCCGCAAAATCTAGAAAAGAATCCATTGCAAAAGCTACCTATGAAACCGTAGAAATTGAATCCTGAGCAAATTTCCTCACAAAAAAAACTCAACAAAACAATTAAACTCAACAAAAACTAGCAATCTAAATAATTCAATCAAATGGATAAGAAAAAACTCACCAGGCCAGCTGGGAACCGGAACTATGGATTACTTTTGAATTTTGGCTGTTCGCGGTCAGCGCGCTCATACAAGCGCATTGGTGCGCGCTATTTTACGGTTTGGAGCCAATTTCAAGCCAAACACGTGAAAAGTACCCCTCATTTGAACACCCATAACTTCGTTGAAAGTGAAGCTATCGGAGAGGGGTAAGTGGGAATGAGCAGAGCTAGGTTGGCTCTTATCACCTGAATTGAGCGATTTCAAAAACGTTCCGATTCCAGAGATTTTCCCCGTTGTGATCATCTTTGTGATCCATCTGTGATCATTTTTGCGAACCGCGAGTCGCTACGCTTTGGACGTCCATGGCAAGCTTCATACACGACCTTTCGTAAAAAAGAACTGTGCCGGAAGCTTGAAGATTTCTACTTTCCACAAGCTTAATTTTCTTCCTAGGCCTGCTATTCGAAAAAATTCCCCGTTGTGATCATTTTGTAATCACCCCCCACGACACCGAAAAAGCCAAGTCGCCCTCCGAGGCCAGGAAACCTCCAGTTGGCTCGAAGACTTTGGTATGCTTCTGAAACACATGTTTTCGTCAAGCATATCAGGTAATAGGCCATTGGGCGCCAATTGGCATCACATGTGCAATGCGCCATGCATGGGGCTTTCACGCAGGTGTTGAAAGGTGTAACTTCTAGATAGGGCTTCCCAATTGCAAGCAAATGTGCTCCTACGATCAGAAAAGTCCGGGAATGTACTTTCATCTGTTTATTAATCGTCACGTCGTGAGTCCTCTTGTTTGTTTATAAATTCATGGGGCCCTTGTGATGAATTCATGGGGTGGTGATCGTAGCTCCTATCATCGCCCCTTCCTCGTACGTATCAGTATGCTACACCAGCGCCAGAGTGCTGGACGTGCTTGGGACGTACGTAGGTACTGCGACCCCCCCCCCGCTCGACAGCAAAATTTTGTAAAAAACCAGAAACTTTTTGGGAAAAAATAGACAAAGTGGTAGGAGGTTGGAAAAATCTAGGGAAGAGGTAACGGGGGTCGTACTTGAAGATGGAATTAGGGGATGGTCGTATTTTTTAGGAAATGATCACAACGCAATGGCGTGCCCTGGTCTCGCACCTAGGGGCGAGGCATAAGCGGGGCATAATTAACGGAGGTGTGATCGTACCATTTTTATCTAACCCGCCACTTATAATGTGTGAAAAACTAGAATATGTGAGGTCACAGTGAGCACAGAATGCAAGAAGGACGAGAGGGTGCAGAGAAAAAGAAATGTTCGACGCATTTAAAGGGAATGAATTCAAGTTGTTCGTAGACCCGCACGCTCCTACAGCTGTGCAGGTTCACCTCGTTAAGGCACCCATTTATACACCATATGTGTTTTTCTTTCTGGAAAACTGTCTACAGATTTCTGATCATTTGAGTTTCAAGAATATAGTCATTCACATAAAAACTCATGCTCTCGATCACTGTGGTGTAATGATAATACACTAGAAGGTAAACTGGACTTTCAGGCTAAAACTGTAAGAAAACTGAAATGGAGACGACGACGAGGAGGGGGGTGCATTTTCTACTATCACCGCTTGCCTAGTTCCGTTTATCTGCTTCCCTAGTTCCAATTTATAAGTCTCACTCTGGCCAAAGCTGAGAACTCTTGTGGAGCTCATCTAGTCACGGTAAAACATGTCAACTCGAGAAGAGCCTGCCTAGATAACCGAAAGTGCAAAATGCCCCGTCGTCAAACTGCGCCACCAAAACTGATCAGCTATTTTCCTGACTAGATAGCGTATTTATCGAATAGGTCGAATATTTCTCCGGGAAAATTGCCATCAACAAATGCTTTCACTGATCGCGGTGCGCTGAGCAGCTGAACGAGTGGTCTTTGAGATTAGTACAAGAATGTTGAGTCATGAGTGGAGATCTCAAGCTAAGCAGAAGCCCCAGCTTGGTGGGTCGTACTTGGTTGCTGGATGGAGGTGGCTCGTATTTGCTCTGGAGAGTTGATAGTTGATTACTCCTGTCACTGGTGCTACCCCCACTATTGCGAGGAAGGAGAGACGTATCTACTTTTGAAAGAAATTAACTGCGTTGCAAAAAATTTTTGACTGCTAACTTTTGAGGTCTTTGCCGTTTGACTAGTGCTACGTATCCCCCTCTCGACTGCAAACTTTCTGGGAATTTCGAAAAGTGTGGTAGTGGGAGGTACGGAAAAGCTAGAAGGTGGGGAGGGGGTCGCAGCAGGTGGCGAAGTTGAGGGGGAGAGGGTGTCGTATTGTTCGAAGTTTCCTCAGTGGTGGGCGTGTACCCTGATACACATTGAATGGCGCAGAGGGATAAACGCCCCTCCTGATTAGAACTTGTTTGTGTAGTAGCGATGATGGGGCAAGGTTCAAAGTGACAAGTCATTATATCTTCGCGCATTGACTGAGGTATAAACGATTTCAAGGAAATGGCAGATTATTTGGAGAGCTATCTCAACAAAAGGCCACGAGAGGGTAAAAAAGCTTTGTACTAGCTGTTTCCGTGCAGTACAGCATGCAAAAAAAGTCAAAAGATACTAAATGAATGTCTACTGCTTCAACGGCAGCGCTGTCTGGGATGATTCATTTTTCCCGGGCTCTTATTTTCGCTTGTAATAATAGAGATGACAAAAAGTTTGGCGAATTTCGTGTTCGTGGTTTTGATGCCATT